TTTCTGGTTTCAATTCAGTTAAGAAGGATGTGTGTGGGGCCACTGAGGCTCTAAGGCTGACGTGGTATAAGCCACAGTCTGGCCCTTACCTATAGCACCTGCCAACTGACAGGGCTCCAGACTGCACAACACAAGGCACAGTCGGTGCCTCCCTGAAGAGAGGTAAAGCAAATACCGGCCACTGTGGATTTCTTGCACATTAAAATAAATTCTTATTTATTTCTTCAACCCTGGTAAACTTTAAGATTCTTCAAATTGAGGGCTTTAGAATTCTTGTCTAGTCTGATTCTGTATATTCATAGTGCCATGCACATCCATCTATTTTGGAATATTAAATAATAATTATGCACTTGCATTTGATACATGAAGTCCAGTAGGGAAGCTTTTTTTTTTTTTTTTTCCTGAGGTTAGCCAACTTAGGAGCCTCAGGCAATTATGCTGTAAAACTTCCTTATAGGGCTGGAGCTTGGCCTTCTTGATTCACTTGAGTTAAGGGAGAGTCTTGCTTCTCACTCTTGTGCTGAGAGTGGACAGAAAGGAATGAGTCAGACTAAATTTCCCCTTATTTTCTGAAACACTGATAAGCCAAACTCCTCATTGTGACCGACTGGCGGAGTCTATGAGTTAAAAAATCACAAATGCATGTAATGGTGTGGTGACCACCGAGCGCTAGTCCTACTGTCAGTGAGAAGCACAGCCAGGTTAGCTCTGCCAGTGGCTGGGAGCCTGGGTGGGACCCCTGAGGCCAGGGGTAAGCAGGACATCCCTGTGACTCTCGCTGGGATACATCTGGTCTTGCTTTTGCCCTGCTTCCTCTAACATCTTTAATCATAATCTTAATAACTGTCAAGTAAACATATTACCTTAAAAATTATTGAAAGGCACCATCTTTGCCAAAGGTGCCCAGGGAAGCAGCTTTTCCCTTGGCCCACCCAGTGCCGCTGCTGCTGTTTGTACCCCACAACCTGTTCTTCCTCCCGTCGCCCCTCTCTCCCTCTCCTCCTGCTTCCTATCCTCCTCTTCCTTTTCTTCTTCTTCCTCCTCCTCTCTTCCTCCTCTTCCTTCTTTTTTCTAATTGCAATATAATTCATATGCATAAAATTTGCATCTTTTTAAAATGTACAATTCAGTGATTTTTAGTATATTCACGAAGTTGTGCAACCATTACCACTACCTGATTCCAGAACATTTTTGTCACCTACAAAAGAAACCCCATACCTATTAGCAGTCCCATTCCCCCTTCCTCCAGTTCCTGGCAACCACAGATCTATTTTCTGTCTCTATAGATTTGCCTATTTTGGACATTTTATGTAAATGGAATGATACAGTGTATAGTCTTTGGGGTTTGCCTTAGCATAATGTTTTAAAGGTTTATCCATGTTGTCGCATGAATCAGTACTTCATTCCTTTTTATGGCTGAATAATAGTCCACTGAATGGATGTACCATTTTCCTTTATGCACTCACCAGTTCATGGAACTTTGGGTTGTTTCCACTTCTCTGTTGTGACTAATGCTGCTATGAATATTTATGTTCAACTTTTTGTGTGGATATATGTTTTCAGTTCCCTTGGTATATACCAGGGTGTGAAATTGCTTGGCCACATGGTAACTTTATGTTTAACTTTTTGAGAAATTGCCAGACAGTATTCCTAAGCATCTGCACCATTTTACCTTCCCACCAGTGATAGGAAGATTTCAGTATCTCTACATTCTCACCAATACTTGTTAGTCTTTGTCTCTTTTATTATAGCCATCCTAGTGAGTGTAAAGTGGTATCTTATTGTGGTTTTGATTTGCATTGCTCTAATGACTAGTGATGCCGAGCATCTTTTCATGTATTTACTGGTCATTTGTGTATTTCCTTTGCAGAAATGTCTGTTCAAATCCTTTGCCCATTTTTAACTTGAGTTATTTGTCTTTTATTATTGAGTTGTAAGAGTTCTTAATATAGTCTACATACTAGATCCTTATTATTGGCAAATAATTTCTTCCATCCTGTAGGTTGTCTTTTCACTTTCTTGATAATGTCCTTTGAAGCACAGAAGTTTTAAATTTTGATGAAATCCAATTAATTTATTTCTTCTTTAGTTGGTTGTGTTTTTCGTGTCATATCTAAGATATCATTGTCTACTCCAGAGTCACAGATATTTACATCTATATTTTCTTCTAGGAATTTTATAGCCATAGTTCTTAAATTTAGGTCTTTGATCTATTTTGAGTTAGTTTTTGTATAGGGTGTAAGGTAAGGATCCAACTTCATTCTTTTGCGTATGTATATCCAGTTTTCCCAGAATCATTTGTTGAAATTGTTTTTCCATTGAGTGGTCTTGGCACCCTTGTCAAAAATCAATTAATGATAAATATAAGAGTTTATTTCTGGACTCTCAATTCTATTCTATTGGTCTATATGTCTATTTCTTTGTTGATCTTCTGTCTAGTTATTCTACCCATTATTTTTTTTCTTTTTTATTTCAGCATATTATGGGGGTACAAATGTTTAGGTTATGTATATTGCCCTTGCCCTACCCAAGTCAGAGCTTCAAGCGTGTCCATCCCCCAGACAGTGTGCACCGCACTCATTATGTGTGTATATACCCATCCCCTCTTCCCCCCTCCCCTCTGTCTGATACCCGATGAATGTTATTACTATATGTGCACTTAAATGTTGATCAGTTAAAACCAGTTTGGTGGTGAGTACATGTGGTGCTTGTTTTTCCATTCTTGGGATACTTCACTTAGTAGAATGGATTCCAGCTCTATCCAGGATAATACAAGAGGTGCTATATCACCATTGTTTTTTGTGGCTGAGTAGAACTCCATGGTATACATATACCACATTTTATTAATCCACTCATGTATTGATGGGCACTTGGGTTGTTTCCACATCTTTGCAATTGTGAATCGTGCTGCTGTAAACATTTGAGTGCAGATGTCTTTTTTATAGAATGTCTTTTGTTCTTTTGGGCAGATGCCCAGTAATGGGATTGTTGGATCAAATGGTAGTTCTACTTGTATCTCTTTGAGGTATCTCCATATTGCGTTCCACAGTTATTAAAAGTGGGTATTGAAGTCTCTAACTATTATTGTTAAAGTGTCTATTTCTTCTTTCAATTTTGTCAGTTTTTGCTTCATGTATATTGGGGCTCTGTTATTGGGTGCATCTATGTTTATTTTGCCTTCATTTATTCTTTTTCTAATGCTCTTCCTTTCTTTATATAGATCTGACTTTCTGACTGATATCATTTTCCCTTCTTTCTGAAGAATTTTTTTTTAACATTTATTGCAAACAGATCTGCTGGCAACAAATTCCTTCAATTTTTTTTTGGCCTGAGAAAGTCTTTATTTATCCTTCATTTTTGAAGGATAATTTTGCTGGATTCAGAATTCTAGATTGGTGGGTTTTTTTCTTTCAACACTTTAAATAAATATTTTACTCCACTTTATTAATGCGTGTGTAGTTTCTGAAGATAAGTGTTATGTACTATACTTTCTTGTTTCTTTGCATGTCTCATACATTTTTGTTGAAAACTGGACATTTTAAAGAATGTAATGTGGCAGTTATGGAAATCATATTCTCACCCCTTTCCATGTTTTGTTGTTGTTGCTGTTCATTGTTATTCATTTGTTTAGTGACTTTTCTAAACTTTGTAAAGTTTGTATTTTTTGTTATGTGTGGCCATTGAAGTCTCTGATTGGTTGCCTTCATGGTCAGCTCATGGTTGGGCAGAAATTTCCTTAAATGCCTGGAAATAATAAGTCTTCCAATTTTTGACAAGGGTCTGTTTCTGTTGGAGCATTCCTTCAACACTCATCCAGGCAGTTAATAACTCTGTCTTAGCCATTACTTCCTGCTTGTGCAGAGCCTCAAGGTCAGCCAGAGGTGAAAGTTTAAGGCCATCTCAGGTCTTTCATGAGCACACACATAGTCCTGGGAATTCTCACAGCTGTATGCATGTGAGTGGCCTTCTATACTCCCAGGAATATGTGGGAGCTTTACCATGCCCCTGTGGACATCTCATTCCCCAGATTTGCTCTTTAAGCTTTTTGGTTAGCCTATTATTTGCCCCATTATCCACCCATTCAGGTAGCTGTGATTTCAAACCACAATTGCCTCAATTTTTTTCTAACAAATGCCTCTGCATGATAGGCTATTCTCACTGGGCAAGCTCTAAATCAGTTGTAAGGAAGATATCCTGTGAATGGGGGCTTTCAGGGAACCACCAGGTCAAATAATGGTAATTTTCTGGAAGTGGGACTTTGAAGGAGCTCCAGCTCTGTTCTGCCGTCTTCAGTGACTGTCAGGCTGTGTTTTCACTGTGATCACAGGCTGTTGGTTTTCAAGGCTTCGTCAGAGATGGTGGGGGGGGCAAGGGGGACGGACAAGAGAGGGAGTAGGGCAGGTTAAAATGCCACAAAGTGTGCTCTTCATATTGAGATTCAGACACTTTTTATTAATAAATGCTCCCCAGATTGCTGCAAGCCCTTGGTTAATTTCCAGAGTTCTGCAAAAATTGATTTTGACAATTTTTTGCCAGTGTTCCCGTTGACTTTATGGAGGAGAGGGTTTTCAGAGGTCTTTACTCCACCATCTTTGCTGCTGTCACCCCCAGCTCTGCCTCTGAGTGTGTGTTGAATTTATAGCGAGGCACTTCGAGAGATCTCAGAGAATCCAAACTTTCTTCCTCTTACTGTCTACCAAAGAAATGAATCGGTGGTAGTCAAAATATAGATGGATTTTCCTATTCAAAAACCTCTAAATTTTGCCATTATTGAAGTTTATTGGATCTACTAAAAACAAGGAGACCAAAATCATGATTTTGTGTCCACCTTAAGAATAGTCTTTGAAACATCAGCAAGCAGATCATGACTAGCATGATTTTTACACTCTCCAGCTGTCCTTTCAAAGAAGGAATAGATAGGAAATTGGCCACATTTGTAATGTATGCTTTAAGATAATGTAATCTGTTTTCTTTTATATAACAGGGATTTAAAGTGCAAAATGGCTATTATACCAGATTGGCTTACTTCATATCCTCACACGCGAAAATTTACATGTTCAAGACCCCATTCTTCACCATGTAGATTATATTCAAGGAATGGTTTCCAAAATATGTTCAGACCTTCATCTTCGAGTGAGTAGTCATGAGCAAATAATAACATTAACAGTAGATAGCACTCATTTATGTTTGATTATGTACTGGGCTTGATACAAAGGTTTCTTGTGACATTTAATCCTCACACTAATTCTATGAATTAGGTTTGGTTTTTATCTCTGTTTTCTATATGGGAAAACTGAGATATGCATTGATTAAGCCATTTGCCGAAAAGTTAT